AGAGAAAAAGAATGCAATTGTTAGTGAGTGGCCAGGAACCAAACACAGCTGTAGTTAAATGGGGAGATGGATTTAGAGAAGCGGGGGGGGGGGGGGGAGAAGATTACTTCTGGTCGCAGGTGTTCCGGAAGGCTGGCGGGGAGGAGCCGTGCAAGGTAGCATTTATGTTTGGGTGGAGGGAAGTCATACTTAGTACATTGATGAGCAAGTTGATTGACCTGCTCATCTCACTTGAACTTCACAAAAGTGACAGAAAATTTACTATTCCCTTTTAGCAGATGAAGACACTGAGACAAGGAATGAGATTAAATGACTCACCCCAAACCACCAGGCTGTTTAGTGGCCGAGATGTGATCAGGAGGAGACCTATTAGCAGGGATTCATCCTCCGTCTTAAAGGTTGAGGCAGTAGAAAGACAAGGGCATGGGCCATTTGAGATGAGCAAGGACTGTGTGGGCTGGCACGGCAAGGTGGAAGTGCCTTGCCCATGATGGGAATAGTGGGGGCATTAGGGGTCCTACAGCTCCCTGTGCCCCAATGACAGTCCTGGAATCATCCTGGGAGATGCTTGGAGTTGGGTGGAAGATGCCCCTACGGGATCTGGGCTTTTGTTTTGCTAGGTTCACTGTAGATTCTAGAGAATTGAAAGGGAATTTATTCTTTTTTAAAGATTTATATATTTATTTATACAAGAACCGGGGTTCAGGCCAGATGCACAGGAGGGTGAGAGGATTCCCCAGAGACAGAGTGGGGAGCAGAGCAGACAGACTGATGAAATACACTGCTGAGGGGAGCAGTGGGCGAGACAGGAGAGGTCTGCCGTGCCATGTGGGACCCTAGCCCAATGGCCAGGATCGAACTGGTGCTGCAGAGGCTCCGGACAGCTTCACGGCATGGTGCTCAACTGTCTGCCCCACCAGGGGAGGCCCTGAAAGAGAATTTTGGAGCCCTGGGCATCATGTTCACAGGTTTTAATGGTGAGCAAGGGAAACAAGGCAGCAGGGAGACAGCAACTTGAGTCCCTTTCTGAATCTCTACACGTATGATCTGCTCTTTTCTCTGGACTTTCTCTGGCCTTCTCTGGTGGTGTCTTCCTCTTGTCACCGGGCACCTGTCTATGAGTAACGCCGATCTTATACCCTGACCTCTAGGCGCAGATGTGCATACTTGCACATGCGCACACACCCATGCTCAGCTGTACATAGTCAGGCATGAGTGCCCCACACCCATGCACCCCCTGTGTTACCAAGATCAAGGCCACAGGTGATAGCCACCGAGGCCCATGGCATAAAAGCCCGATCACCTTCATTTACCCTGCAGTTTTATTTGGCCAAATGTGGATCATGTGCAGGGACATGACTCCAGCAGTGCGTCTCAGGATGTTTATGAGTGTGAGGCCTTCCTGTGATGTGGAAGGACTTTCATGCCACTAAGCTCTTCCGTGTGGGGCTACGGAAACTCCTTCCCCAAATGTCTCCAGGAACCTAATCCTTTGAGCATCTTCATCCAGGATTTTTGTACAAAGAATCACCAGGCCCTGGCTCTACCCGCCTGCCTTTGTGAACATTAACACTTTAAAAATCCCCGCTCAATTCTTGGGATTTTGAGAAGAAAACTCCTTAATCTCTCTCCCTCTACCCCCCTGCTGCTCTCATGATTTTAACCTATTTTCTGCTATTCCAAAACTTCTGTTCAATAAATGAATAATTAGGTCTCCTTTTGGCTTTGCTAGTGAAAAGTAGACCATAATATTTAGATTAAAACAGTGTCAGAACTACACTGGAAAAATACATCCCGGTTACATGATGAATTCTTCCTCTTCCTTTTTATTCTTGGTTCCCTGGGGTGGCCCAGTGGAGAAGCATACTATTTGATTCTCCTTGGGTGGTCAGACAGGACTTGTAAAGACTCTTGTTTGTTTTGTGTTGAGACTTCAAAGGCACACAGGCTTCCCTACATAAAGATGTACTAAGAAATAGGGATTTTTTTTGAAGTTGCTATGTATAAAGGGAAATTCAGAGTAACCATCTTCCTTTAGAACTACAAGTTAATGTGATTAGAGGGTCCCTTTTCAGCAGGAAGCTTTGTTGCTCCTATCTGTGGTCATTACCGCCAGCCTTGTGGGAAAATGGTGCTTACAGAAACCATCTCCACCTATGCTTTTTGTTTGCTAGCCCATCCTACAAAGATATACTTTAATTTTTAATCTACCTTTGTGTGTGCTTATTTAAATTTTGGAAGAACTAAAAATCCGAGTGTGTGTGTGTTTGTGTGTGTGTGCGTGTGCGTGCGTGCGTGCGCATGTCTGAGATAATGCCATAATCCCATTGCTTGGGAGATGTGTGTTCTCAAAACATATTTCAGTCCACATAGTATTCAAATTCCAATTAATAAGCCCCATCCCTCCTGTGGTGTGAGAGAAAATTTGCATTGAGGCGAAGGCTGGTACGTGTAGAATTTTTTTTAAAGATTTATTTATTTATGCATATAAGAACTGGGGTACAGGCCAGAGTTGCGGGGGGTGAGCTGATTCACCAGAGACAGAGTGGGGAGCAGAACAGGCAGACTGACTCAAATGTACTGCTGAAGGAGCAGTGGGCAAGACAGGAGAGGTCTGCTGTGCCATGTGGGTCACCTCCCTGGCTGGGGATCGAACTTGTGCTGCAGTGACTGCAGATAGTTTCATAGTGCTGAAACTTAACCCATTGTGCCACCAGGGAGGCCCATGTGGGATAATTTTTAATGCTGAATTTCAGACCTCCCTCCAGGTCAGGGGGAACTGGGAGAAGCTGGTGTCATGTGCACCATTGGTATTATCTGTGCTACATGGTATGTCAGCCATTTTATTTACCCATGCTTATTTTCTCCATTTCGGAAAATTAATTGTCCTTAATGGGGGAGGTTGATAGTGCTGAATTATTTGAAGCCTGGAGGGAGCGGAGCAGCTGTGTCTTCGCTCAGACCAGTGGTCTATCTAATAGGTTGTCTTGCCACCTGATTCACTGGACGGATGTGCTTAGCCAATTATGTGACTCCCTAGGTGGAGAGAAATAACCTTGAGTCTCGAGAGCCAGACGTTGCTTTATGCCATGTGTCACCCACTGAAGCCCCTTCACCACCTTGGCCTAGTGGGAATGTAGTACATTTCTAATTCCTAGAAAATTATTTCTCTGTAATAACAACAAAGAAGCCACTGTGTGAACTAGTTGGGTCTTTCATGACTGGTCAGGAACTTTGCTTTGGAACCAGGTGCTTAGAAAATAAGTAGTTTGGGCGGGTACTTTTAAATATTGTAAGTTAGAACAAAACCACTAAACTGCTTGCTTGTTTTATCAGCTACAACTGGCTATCATACATTTTTTTAAGATGAATATTATGCAAAGTAAAATACAAATTCAAAAAACATTAGAAATGTTAAATTTGTTGGGCATTCTACATCATAGCTATTTTGTAATCAAATACATTTTCACAAAATATCAGATTAATAAAGATTTATTTATTTATTTATGCATATAAGAACTGGGGTATAGGCTTGGGGTGCAGGGGCTTCATATTGCTGAGGCTTAACCCCTTGCGCCACCAGGGAGGCCCCAATATCAGATTTTTTAAAAAAGATAAGTCTGGACACAGAAAACAAACCTAACTTTTGATAGGATCTTGCATGTCTTTTGAGAGTTGGGGGGCAGGCCAGAGGTGCAAAGCCCTGGGTGAGAGGATTCACCAGAGACAGAGTGGGGAACAGAACTGTGGATTGACTGAAATATAGATACGTTTGCAATACCATCTGCTGTACCTTGTGGTTGGGGGATGGAATTCCTGCTGTGGTAGCTGCCTATGGAGTCATAGCACTGAGACTTAACCCCTTGAGCCCCAAGGACGCCCTTGGATGTCGTTTTTAAGGCCTGGAGTCAGAGTTCTCGGTGTCTTTGCTCTGACTATACCACAACAGATGGCACTTGGTGACTCATCTGTGGTGGAAGGGGAAGAACTTCTCCCCTGGACTCAGCCAGCTCCTGGTTTTGACCCATGTTTCTGCTACTGCTAGTTCCCTGGTGGTCAAGTTACGGCACACTCTCAGCTACAGTCTCTTTGTCTGGAGCCTTCTGTGGCTCTTGGGACTGGCATTGCACAGTTGTTTCAGAGGTTAAATGGAATAAGCTATAGGAAACATCTAGGGTCTAGCATATATGTCGCTATCTCCATTACCCCCCTTCTGATGACATCCCAGGGCTCGTAGTTTTGCAAGTGTAGTGCTGCACTGTTAGCTTTGGCAGTCACTATGGAGAACAGTTAAAACGCTTCATTTTCCAGATAATGAAGTCTAGGCCCAGAAAAGGAGAGTAACTTGCTTGCAGTGTCTTAGAATAGCAGTAGAGGAGATGGTGCTAAAACCAAGTTTCACTGGATGCTCCAGCTTTTTTCAGAGAGGAGGATTTAACTTAGGGAGTGAATTCCTGGCATGGCTACGGAGCTGTCAAGCCCAAGGTTAGTCTAAGGGGCCCAATTTAATAAACAACTTCCCAGCTTTTCCTGTAGGAAACAAATTTTCTTTTCTTTTTTCTTTTTTTTAAAAACAATTTATTTATATATGTGTACAAGAGCTGGGGTATAGGCCAGAGGTGCGGGGGGATGAGAGGATTCACCAGAGACAGAGTGGGGAGCAGAACAGGTGGATTGACTGAAATACACTGCTGAGGGGAGCAGCGGGCGAGTCAGGGGAGGTTTACTGTGCCATGTGGGTTGCTCCCTGGCAGGCTGGGGATCAAACTCGTGCTGCAGTGGCTGCAGGTTACTTCATAGGTTGCATCTTAACCCCTTGAGCCACCAGGGAGGCCCCAGGAACCAAATTTTCTGCATGGTAAACAGAAACGTGTACTGAAACTTCAATGTGTCCTGCTTAATTTTTTTTTGCTTCCCCACACCGGCTCCCTGACCGCCCCCAGGCCAAGTACTCTTGACAACTTTTGACTCCATTTCTCTCTCTTTCCTTGTATTCTCAGGTGACTACAGGAGCCTTCACACCCAGCATATTCAGATTAGCGACTTTCTGGATGGGGAAGTTTCCAGATAAAGGTTTGTTCTGATTCTCCTTATGGCTACAGCCCATTGCCTACTTTTTTCTGAGTTGCCCCCAAAATCCCAGTGGCTGCCACTCCCTATATTTTTCTCCTTTTTGCTTTTATTTTGGTTTCTTGTCTATGCTATTCTTCATCATATTTTTGTTTATATTTTAATGTATCTATACATGCATGTTAGATTTTCACATAACAATACATGCGTTCTTGTAACAATATTACATCATGGAACGATATATGTAGGGAATGTTGTAGTGATATTTATACCATGAACTGATGTGTGCCTGGGAATGGTAAATCCTACCTCCTGGACACAGGTTGCCTATGGGGAGGGAAGCTGGGTGCATGGCATATGTCGAGTGCGTCTGTCATGCATATTTTTCTTTTTTTTTAAAGATTTATTTTATTTATGCATACAAGAGGCAGGGTGTAGGGCAGAGGTGCGGGGGTGTAGGGAGGGTGCGAGGACTCACCAGCGACAAAGTGGTGAGCATAACAGGCAGATTGACTGAAATACACTGCTGAGGGAAGCAGTGGGCAAGACAGGAGAGGTCTGCTGTGCCATGTGGGTTGCTTCCTGGCCAGAGATCGAACTCATGCTACAGTGGCTGTGGATAGCTTCATTGTGCTGCATCTTAATCCCTTGTGCGATCAGGGAGGCCCCTGTCATACATATTTTTCAAAAATAAGATTAAAAAAAAAAAAAAATGGGCCTCCCCGGTGGCGCAGCGGTTGAGCTTTGGGTTGCGAAGCTGCCCGCAGCCTCTGCGGCGCCGGTTCGATCCCCGGCTGCTCCCCTGCCACCGGAAGAGGGTCCCACATGGCGCGCAGACCTCTCCTGCTGCCCGCTGCTCCCCTCAGAAGTGTACTTTGGTCCTTCTGTCTGCTCTGTTCCTCGCTCTGACTCTGGTGAATTCTCTCACCCTCCCGCGCTTCTGACTATACCCAGTGCATGTACAAACAAAAATAAACAAACAAACAAATAAATAAATAAAACATGCCTCTATAAAAAAAAAAAAAGATTAAAAAAAATGCTGTAGGGAAAATGGAGTTACTCAGGCTGTTTTTGCCTCCTGATGCCAGCCTCTGTGGCTGCCAACTGTGGCCTTTCTTTCCCCCCGGTTTCATTGCCTATGTGTCATACTGTGTTTCTGCAAAAAGCACTGGGAGCATGAGCACGGGACAGCCTCAGGCACCCAGGACAGAGTGGTGTGGGCACAGGGCGCGTGCACCTGTGATTCGGGATATCCAGGCTAAGAAGCTGGAGATCATGGGGTATGTGCGCCTATAAATACAGATGCCTGGGCTGATTGTTCCAGTATTACTAGATGGAGACCAAGAGACAATGCCAGAGAGGAGCAAGAGAGGAGAGGAAGAAAGGAGGAGAGATTGGGGGTGTGGGGGGCTGGGAGGGGCTGCCTGCTTCTCAGCCCCTCCCTCCCCCCTGCCTATCTGGCTTTTCAGCCCACCTCATGCCTGGTTGTCCCTACAAATGGTGTAAGTTGTCAGGGTTCGATATAGCTGGAGCGAGGACACGCTAAATACTCTTTCACACCTAAAAGAGTTTTGAATACTCCTTTCCTATCAAAAAATTCAGTCAGTGCTCACTATTCCCATTGTAGAGATAGATACTATAAATATAATGTACAACATGACGACTGTAGGGATGCTGACTGGTATATTTTATTTAATTTTGTTTTAAAGATTTATTTATTTATGCATACAAGAACTGGGGTATAGGCCAGAGGTGCTGGGGGTGTGTGTGACAGGATTCACCAGAGACAGAGTGGGGAACAGAACAGGCAGATTGACCGAAGTATACTTTTGAGGGGAGCAGTGGGCGAGACAGGAGAGGTCTGCTGCGTCATGTGGGTTGCTCCCTGGCCGGGGATGGAACTCGTGCTGCAGTGGCTGCTGATAGCTTCATAGTGCTGAGACTGAACCCCTTGAGCCACCAGGAGAACCCTGACTGGTATATTTTATTTTATTTATTTATTTTTTAAAAAGATTTATTTTATTTATACAAGCACTGGTGTAAGGGCAGGACTGACATAGGGCAGGTTTTCTATGATCCAGCAGACTGGGTAAAGGAGGAGTCAGAGTTCTCAGTGGCTTTTGCAGATTTTTTATTTAGATTACCAGGTACACAGCAGGCAAGGGTGCTGGGGGGCCGGGAGGCTGGCAGGCCTCCCAGCCCCCAGCAAGTCTTCACTCTATCTGGGCTCTCCGGCCTTCTGTGCTTCTCTCTCGGCTTCTGCTGCTTCTCTCTCAGCTTCTACTGGCGTCCCTGTGATGCCACCCTTAAAAGCACAGTCTTAGCCCAGGTGAATCCCATCTACCTATGCCCACACCCTACTCCAGGTGCCCGCCATCAGGCATGCATTCAGGACCACAAGGATCCATCATCAATCCTAATGGTGGGAGGGCAGAAAAGTCTGATACTTTTTACCTTACCCTACAACTGGGTACAGTCAGAAGCGCGGGAGGGTGAGAGAATTCACCAGAGCCAGAGTGGGGAGCAGAACAGGCAGACTGACGAAATACACGGCTGAGGGGAACAGCGGGCGACAGGAGCTGTAGAGGCTGCGGGCAGCTTCACAGCCCAGTGCTCAACCGCTGCACCACCAAGGGAGGCCCCCTGACTGGTATATTTTAAAGCTGTTAAGAGAATAACATTTTTCTCTTCTTTCTTTTTTGCATCTAAATGAGAGGATACATGTTAACTAAGCTTGCTGTGGTAATCATTTCACAATATGTGTAAGTCACCTCTTTATGCTCTGCACCTGAACCTTCTGCAGTACTCTATGTTAATTTTATCTCAGTAAAACTGGGGCAAATAAAAAAAGATTATAAATAAATCTCTTTGGCATTTCAGATGTTTGGAGGTGCCAAAAGTTTTGCTAGAGCAGTGGTTCTCAAAGCGTGGTTCTTAGATCAGCAGCATTGGTGTCACCTTGTAATGTGCTATAAATTCAAATAGTTGGGGCCTCCCATAGATGATTGAGTCAGAGATGCTGGGAGTGCAGTTTTTTCACAAACGCTGCGTGATTCTATTGGATGGTAGAGTTAAGAGAACCGTTGTCTAAAGCCCCCTATCCCCAGTTGTATGTTCTCTGTAGACCTTGTTTTCTTTTTAAATTTTTTTAAAGATTTATTTATGCATACAAGAACTGGGGTACAGGCCAGAGGTGCGAGGGGTGAAAGGATTCACCATAGACAGAGTGAGGAGCAGAACAGGCAGACTGACTGAAATACACAGCTGAGGGGAGCAGCGGGCAAGTCAGGAGAAGTCTGCTGCGCCATGTGGGTAGCTCCCTGCCCGGGGATTGAACTCGAGCTACCGTGGCTGCGGGTAGCTTCTTAGTTCTGAGTCAATCCCTTGCGCCACCAGGGAGGCCCTAGACCTTGTTTTCATGCCTAATGCAGCAACATATCCCAAAATACCCAAGATACCTAGGATGGGGCTCTTATATCTGCACCACTGCTGTGCAACCATCCCAGGCTGGGTAGGTGTTTGTTTATCCGGGCAGATGAAGAGAGAATGTTGGAGCCTTCCTTATCTTAACATACCTTTAGTGCTGAAGCAGGGGATCGGGCACAGGCCGACCAACAGGCCTGGAGGCAGCAACTGAGCCCCCTAGCCTCATAGTGACACCACAAGTGCAGAGCTGGGAGCCATTTTCACCCCTAGCTCCTAGTTCCAGGTGTCTGCGTTTACACAGGCACATTGCTGTGCACTCTGTCTTCTTGGCCCAAGAGTCTGTGAGTAAAAGCTTGCATGCTCTGCTCTTATGCCTCTCAGCCCTGGCGTACGTGTGTGCCCTGTGCTCACACTCCCAAGCACTTTTTGCACCGACGTGAAATCACTTGTGGGTAATGCATCCTGGGAGGAAAGCAAAGCTGCAGGTGGTAGCCATAGAGACTGGCGGTAGGCGGTGAAAAAGAGGCTGAGCCACACCATTTTCCCTACAATCACCTTGGTATGAGAAATGTGTATTTTGGTTTTCTCCAGGGTTCTGGGCACAGAGCTCATAAAACCCTTGTCATTTCTTAAATTATAAGAACATGTATAGTTCCAACACTTGGCTATTGTGTCCAACTCTTTCAAGATCAAGGTGAAAGGACCGTCTGTTCTAATTCAAAACAAGCCCCTTTCAGGAACCAAATAAGGTCTCAGGGAAAAAAAAATAAATAAAAAAAATTAACAGGCAACTATAAATCAGAGACATTCAGCAGGCAACGGGGAGGGGCGAGCACAAGGGACTATGGTGATGGTGCACAGGTGAATTAGTGGAGGAAATTCCATGGGGACTACATCTGAGAGGAGAAAGCAAACATTGTAAAAAAAATAAAGAACAATGATGTGTTGTAAAATAAATAAATAAATAAATAATAAAGTTTAAAAAAATAAGGTAACACTTCATTTTAAAAGCAAAACAAAAAAGCTCCTTTCAAATACACCTGAGTTCATGTTAATATGGCAATTTTTGGAAAACCTCTAACTATGGGGGCAGGTTACCAGAGGCTCCAACCCTGTGATTAGAGGATTGGTGCCTTTAGCCCCATCCCCGACCTCTTGGGAGAGGAGAGGGCAGGGGGTTAAGCTAATCACCAGTGGCCAATTACTTAATCATGGGTGCCTACCTCTGTCTAAACCTGGTTTGAAGGGGCTTGGAGAGCTTCTGAGAGAGCTTCCGGTTGAACTTCCGGAGGCGCTGGGCAGGCTACTGTCCTGCAGCAGGGGTGTGGAAGCTTGGTGCAGCGTGCCCCATGCCTCCCTTCTCTCTGGCTCTCCCTTTAGAGCACATTGGTAACTTGGTAAGTAAAGAGTTTTCCTGAATTCTGGGAGCTGTTGCAGTGAGTTACCAAACCTGAGGATGGGGTTGTGGAAACTCCTGATTTACAGCTGCTGAGCTGCAAGTTCAGGTACAGGCTGTACCTGAACTTGCAATTGGTATCTGAAATGGGGGCACTCTTGTGGGACTGAACCCCCATCAG